AGTGTCCCAAAGACGTTGCCCAAAGCAAGCATGAATTGTTTATTTTCAACATAAAATACATAGTCTAAGAAGTAATAGAAAAACTGGAGATGACACATTAGTAATGCACTTGAGATCTTGATTATATGCTGTTGGCTTTGTTTGTTTGTTTTGCTGTGAGCAGAAGCACCTGGTCAATGACATCACTTACATATCACATAATTGCTCTCTCAACAGTAAGTCTGCAACAGACTATAACATATAAATCTTGCCAGAAGATTACTTTACATGTCCTTAATAAAATCAGTACAGTAGTGATGAAGTCAAGGACACTTGCTGTCAGTAGACCACTTACAATCTAGAAGATGACTGTATTTCGAAGGCCGGCCATAACAAACACCCCCTCCAAAACAACAAAAAAATGCTTTCTGCTAAAACATCATCACTAGCAATTCTCCAGGCAAAATTTACTTCACTTTATTGGTAGTATCCAGGATACATATTTAATATCTCTTGCCTTCTGAGTGCTTTGCACTACACTTACAGTAATTGCTTCTGTAGCATCAAGTACAATGACAGAACAAAAGCATCTGCAACTGACAGCTGTACTGCTATCAAACCGCAACCCACCTGCCTCTTTTTGCCTAATTCTCTGTTATTTCTCTTTACAATGAGTTTTGAGACTCTGTAAGCACAGTTGTGACTTATAGCTTAGGAAGAAAAGGTATATTCAAGGCTATTCACTTAAAAGCATTACAACTCAGGAGTCAAATGTACAACTGCTGTGAAGATGGGATCATTTAACAAAACATGCACAGTCACACTGGGCAGTGACTAGAAATTGCTGGAAGTTATGCCTTAAGACTGTAGTGTAGGGTTCCATGTAGGAGGGGAAAAACAAGCCAGCAAACAACAGAAAAGGTTCAGATAAGTAGTCCAGGATCCATTACACAGCAATAGAGCATCAGTAAAATTGATAGTCTATTTCCAGCTTTCTAACAATTGTTTTATTTTCCAGTGCTGGGAGCTAACCAAGTACAACTAAAAGATGACCTAAGACCAAAACAGTCTCTGAAAGAGTGGGAGAGTCAGAATGATAAAGCCAATTTTACATTAGTAAAACAGGAAGGAAAGAACATATCATCCAGTCTTTGTGGTAACTTCTGCAGGCTATCAGACCTATGAGACTTCTGCACAGAACATTCTGTGAGATGCGAATACAGGCTTTACAAATGGAAATCCTTTCTTTCTAAATAAGCAATGCTTAATTTTAAGTAGATCATCTGAGGGATGCAAGAGATGCTCACTAACATTATTTCTTCCAGGTAAAAGATCAATCCTTAAACAAGCCTGGGAGAGTAATCTCAGCTGATCCCATGTGAAACACTGACCTTTGAGTTAGAAAATAATCAAAGGAATTCATCTTAAGAAGGACTTATAATTATCAGCATCACTGACCTACATGGGAAATACCTGAAGCTAGCAGAATTCTTTCCTCCTGAACATACTTGAGATTGTGGTGGACTTGCATTCACTGACTTATTTTAAGAGCATACCAACACCAGCAGGATACAAAAACATAAGGCTTTTTTCTAGACACACTGCTTCTGTAAGAGTCAGCCATTTATCAGGAAATATCTCCCACGTAAAGACTGCTATTATCTCTATTTTGCAGACAACACCAAGTTGGGAGGGAGAGTTGATCGGCCTGAGGAAAGAAGGGCACTACAGAGGACCTGGATAGACTGGATCAATGAGCCAAGGCAATCTGTATGAGTTTCAATGGGGCCAAGTGTAGGGTCCTGCATTTTGATCACAACAACCCCAATCAACCCTACAGGCTTCGGAAGGAGTGGCTGGAAAGTTACCTGATGGAAAGGGACCTTGGTGTACAGTCAGCTGAATATGAGCCAGCAGTGTGACCAGGTGGTAAAGAAGGCCAATGGCATCCTAGCTTGTATCAGGAATGGTGTGGTGAGCAGGACTAGGGAAGTTACCCTGCCCTTGCACTCGGCATTGGTGAGGCCTCACCTCGAGTGCTGTGTTCAGTTTTGGGCACCACAGTACAGAAAGGACATTGAGATGCTGGAGCAGGTTCAAAGAAAGGCAACGAGGCTGGTGAAGGACTTAGAGAATATGCCCTAGGAGGAGAGACTGAAGGAACTGGGGCTGTTTAGTCTGGGGAAAAGGAGGCTGAGGGGAGACTTTATTGCTCTCTTCCAACATCTGAAAGGTGCTTACAGCAACAGCGGGGTTGGTCTCTTCTTACTGGTGACAGGTGACAGGACGAGGGGAAATGGCATCAAGTTGCTCCAGCGTAAGTTCAGGTTGGATATCAGGAAAAACTTCTTTACAGAAAGTTGTTAAGCACTGGAATGGGCTCCCAGGGAGGCGGTTGAGTCACCATCCCTGGATGTGTTTAAAAACCATTTGGATGTGGTGCTCAGGGACATGATTTAGCAGAGGATTGTTAGTTAGGGTTGTATGGTTAGGTCGTGGTTGGACTCGATGATCTTTAAGGTCTTTTCCAACCTGAGTGATTCTATGATTCTATGATATTATCTTTTTCAGCAATGGTAAATATGACATACATACTACGTATTTTGGTTGACCCCACCTTGCAATATTTCCAACCTAGGTAGCTCCCATTCTTCCTCCATCTAGTCTTTTCCTGTCTTGCTTGAAGATACATTCAAGTGCTCAAATTCAGTCATTTACAGTCAGACTGTAATGTAATGTACTTGTTACAACACGCAGTTTTTCAAGCAATAGTGCTCTAAGTACATTTTTCTTGTAGTGCTTTTGGATATTCAGCTGTTCTTTAACATTCTGCTCCAATGGCTAGATCCAAAACATTCAGTTCACCCCTCACTGTTCTGAGGGTCTAGTCTTTCTATCTCTGCTCACTATGCACCACACAGAGCACTGAACTGTCAAGTAAATGTGTAAGTTTAAGCACTTCATCAAGGGGCACTTCCAGACATATTTAGGTCAGTCTTATGGGGCTCACACCAAAGAAAGTTGCATGTTAGCTCAGCAATGCAGCATAGAGAACCACTCTAACCAACTATGTGATTCTGAATTACTATTTCTTTAAAATACATACTGAAACAATTCAATGGAAAAAAAAAAAAAAAAAAAAAAAAAAGTAGGAGCAAACTCATCTTAATTATATACAGCAAGAGACCAAGGAAACAGTAGATGTTTGGGCTGAGAACTTAATTTTTATGTGTTATTTTTATGTATTATTCTCTCTTTTGTTTAGGGTATACATTCAGGTAATACTTTCATGTTTTGCCTTGTATAGTGCTCTAAGGTCCCTTAAAGCAGCTTTCATCTGCTTTTATTGGCATATCGGTACATGCAATCAAACTATGTATCCAAGAAGAGCTAATTAATAAAGGAACACTCAGACACCAGATTACACAGTTGCCTGGTTCTTATCAATGAGAACTGGGAAGAATATTCAACCACTTTTAAATATAGCTTTAAAATAATGCAGTAGAACTTGCCTGTACCATTTACATGAGGTAATCTATAGTTATTTCATGCAGTAGTTCAACATACCACAATTTTCCTTCCAGGCAGTTAAAACTAGAGCTACATAATAGCATCAGCTCTCTCTCCCTACAAAGAAGTTTCACAATGAGTAGAGCTCTCCTATCACAAGCTGCACTTAGATCCTTTTTCAAAGACTGAAACAGTTGCAATACTTGGTATATTTAAACTGTATATTTATATTATGTATATTATTTTTGCTTCTCCCTCCACTGGATTTCTGTTGTTCTTTTTTAATTTTCATTTTTATAAATGCTTTTTTTTTTTCTTTCCATTTTTCTTTCTTGCAACTCTAACATTCTTTCTCCATTCTCTCACTCATCAGTTGGTGGGTTTAGAGAAAGACTCACAGAGACAGGCTACTCAGAGCAGCTGAACACAAAGCCAGCCTTGCTCCTGTACCCTAGCATATCTGTAAATGAGCCCCTCTGCTAGTTGTGTTACATGAAACACCACATACAACAGCAAAAGAGCACACATTCTAGCAACTCTGCATCTAGGAGTAGATACGAACCTGTGGTTTTCACTGTTACACTTCTCACAGAAACAAACCATTCTGCTTTTCCTTGCAAGTTTTTTTCTACGAAGACTGGCACTGAGAAGCAGAGGAGATGTTATTTCCTGCTTTAGAGAAATCAGATTGCCAGACATCACAAAGCAACCTACCCAGCAGCCCTTCAAGCTGACTCTGCACACCATGTTTTCTTTGTTCTGACCCCCTCCTGAAACATAGATTATGAGTATTAGAGAAAGGATCCCAGACTTCTACCAGTTGCTTCCCCTCATATTGCAAATATTCTGTTTATCATAGAACCAGTTTCTTCTTTTTCACCCACCCACTGCCTTAGCTGTCTTCGAGTGTCCATAGTGGAAATAGTGGAAAATTCTTGCTCCAGGAAATCTGTGCTGGTTGAAACCTGGTTTTAGGCAGCCGAACCATTTTTTCAACTACACATTATTACAGTTTATGACACTCAACTGCTCTTTTCCCCCAGTTGTGTTATTGCAGCAAATTGTGTCATATATGAAAATCAAACCAATGGTCAATATATGAATGATATTTTCTCTTTAACCAGGAAGTTCACCAAATTACAAAACAATTCTTGATACAGACATCATCATAGGTGTCTCAAACTCATTCCTCTACATGTGAAAAGTGATGTATAGAAATGTACAGGAATGTATGTAGAAGAAAATACCATCAGCACAATACCAAAAGGCAGACAGCAGAAAAGCAAGCAAACACAAGGATTACTATATAAAGACCATGAACACACACACACACACACACAAAAATACACTGAGCCTCACATATTTTAGCTTTACAGTATACCTACATGCAGAGTAACATACTAGTAGCACCTGATTTAACAGGCTTTTGATGTATAACCAAGAAGAAAAGAGCTAGTTAGCATCATTCCCAAGTGGATGCACCACATAAGAAAATATGTAATAACTCTTACCTAAAGCTTTCTGGGTACTCAACAACAGCCATGTTGATAACTTCCAGTGCATGCTGATAGTGCTTCTGAGCTGAAAAGAGGAGGGCCAGTAGATGTAGTGAGTTCATGTCATCTTTGCACAGCTGTAGTGCTTCCTGAAGATATTCTATAGCATCAGAAATCTGGAAGGAAATGGGGTAGACATAAAAAGAAAACATTTTTCTCCTTCAGATATTCCCAAAGATAAGAGCAAATATAGTCATTTGAAATTCTGAAAAAATCTTATTTGGGCATCTTATGAGGAAGAGTTCTACTATCTGAACAGCCTGCCAAAATTAACAGGCTGCATTGCTTGAGAAAACCCACACATTCTAGCAAAAAGTCTGCAGCATTATTGAATTACTGCTTATGAGCAGGAGCAGCAGTCTAGACCCAATTAATCCATGGTGCTTTTACACTGTAAAAACACGCTACAAGGGCCCAACTCTCAACTCCATCTTCTAGGATGGGCAGATGCCACTTCAGCAGTGTGACAGCATTACAAATGTTAGCAGTGTTTTGTTTCTTTGTGATTTGAATCAGGCACATAAAAATTAAGTAGAAGTGCTTAAAGGTAAAAGAGGCAAGATTCAAAATACGACCAGAAAAATAAATATCAGCTAGGTGAAGAGTAGTCCAGACACATCAGTGGCATGTCTTTTAGAATCAAGTCCCCTTTGGCAGAAAACCTAACATCTGTAACGAATGCATTTATATCACAAGATCTTAGTGACCAAGTAACTTCAGCTATATATTCAAAAAGGAATTTTTTAGATCTTTTTTTTTGATTACCAGTAAGTTTTACATAGAGAATTTTCTCTAAGTTCCTCTAGTTTAGACATTATTCTTATTTGCTTCTTTCCAGATCTGTGTTTGGCCCTGAAAGCTTGCAGAACAATATACAGGTTTCTTCTTCTGGCCTGGCGTAACACCAATACGAAATTCCCACCACCTCCACACTTCACTCAGGAGAAGAGGTTGCACATAACAATGGAGAGCAGCCATTACACTGCCTGCAGTCACAACAGTCTGTAGAACATCTAGATCCAAGACATACCTCTGAGAGACCAGTCCATATTTTGTTCATGCAAATATCCAAATGACTTTTCACTCTTACTGCACTTAAGCAAGCAAAAATACTTAACTACAGTAATTACTGGTGCCTTCATGCAAGCCTGCAGATAAGTGATTGATCCACAGACATAACCCCAAACTGGCATCTGGTGACACTGCTGAGTGTCCTGGCCTAGGTTCAGGTTTGGATATACAACCGAGTTCTCGGCTTTAATGAACTACTGTCTGTCATGTGCTATTGTAGCCTACTGCAAAGCTAGAATAAATATATTGACTGAAATCATCAATGATTCTTCAGCAGCTTCCTAGGACACTTCTTCATTACTATGTAAAAATGCTGTCAATGACAAGAGAACTTGGATGCAGGACAACAGATGTGAGACTGTTGTAGATCCAGGTCTGCCAGTCTACGAAGGTGTTCAGGAGGTACACCAGAGATGTATAAATCTGGCTTGCTAAAATAAGACTGCCATCAAGACTTTCATTACCCCCAGGTCTAAAACAAACAAACAAACAAACAACAAACCAGAGGGGGTCTTGAGCAACCTGTTGTAGAGTTGCAGGAAATGACAGATTTTGGACATTAGTCATGCTGCCTGACCCCTAACTATTCTAACTCAAGCCCCCCAAAAATCCTTAGCCCTGTAACACCATTAGTAGCCTACAGTTCTCCTGCTGCAGTGGTCAACACCAGTAAAAAAAAATGCCCTTTAATAATTTCAGGATATTCTCTTCAACTACAGGAAACACACAATAACAACTTTCAACAAAACAGTCACAACAAAATTTAAACTGAATTTCTAGAACAATAAAAACAAGATATTTGGCAGCAGCAAACACAAACTTCTTTTGAAAAGTAGAGATCATTGATCTATTGAAGAAGCCAAAGCTTATTTATTTAAGTAACTGTGTAATATGAGAAAGATGGAAGCTGGCAGCACAGATGGCGCTCTGAAACTCAGAGGTAGGCTGCCAGTTTAAATTCCCCACAAGTGCTACGCCTTAAAGTAATCCTATTTCAGCTGGACAGCAAGTCCAAGTGGAGCCAGCAATTAGACCATTCTACCCTTCTCTGATTCGTCTTTCCATTAATAAATATACCACATCTATTCTGCATGGCACACAGGTACGTTAAGATCACATCGATCAGGAAGCAAAAATACTGCAGCAAGCCAGAAATAGCATCCTGCAGCACTAATAAAATACTGTGGATTGTTTAGACTGCCTCTTATAATAGGCTTTATTTTGATAATGCTACATGCTTCCTTAAAACCATTTGGAAGTTATAACTGTAGGTATAAAAAGGAAAATAGTATGATGTTTTTCTACCATTTCACAATGGTAGAATGCACCTACATATTGAGAGTGCTAAATGAAATAGGATCTCATAAGTATTTGATCCAAATGAGTTTTCAAACCTTATACTTTCATATCAGTTGTGAGTTGCAGTTAATTAACCACTAAAGCTATCCCTTTCCATCTGCCTTTATAGTACAAGGATTAGAGAAAAGAGAAAGCTTCATTGACAGTCAAGAATGTTTGCTCAAAACAGACCTGCTGCACACCATCAGAAAGCAAGCATGAACAAATCTGTGAGCTATGTTAGAACTTAATTCTTGCTGCAAGTTGTTCTTCATCACTGGAAAAATCAAGACCTTGACAGAAAAGCTGCATGTTGCTCTTCAGCAGAGAAGGCCTTAGCAGGTCTGGGACAAAGAACAGAGCTGTCCCTGTTAGCAGCCACTAAATGGAAACAGAGCTCCTCTCCTGAGGCAAACAAAAGCTAACACATTTGCCCCTCCCTGGAACCAGAATAAAAACTGCAGAGAAAACAACTGAAATGCTTTCTCTGGTATTCATAACTCCTGTTTCTGTTTTTTATATACTGGAAGGAAGGCAGTAGGTGTTTTCTGGATATTGCCACTTGAAACTTCGGGTCTGCTGGCAGCCCGCAGACGAAATTGATAAGTGAGACCTCTAATTCTCAGCTGCCGGCCCTGGCTGTCTTTGCCTTCCTATTTTCATGTAAAGAAAGGTCAAATCAAATATTAAAATGGTATGAAAACCCATGTGTTGTTTTCATGTATCCGGTACTGATTTACATGGCATTTGAGGTAAAAAAAAAAACACAGAACACCATCCCCAAAAGGAGAATGGAATCAGCACTTAAAATTAACATGAGCTCTGACTCTCTAGAGTCATTTCCATAGAAACTGGCCTGCTAAAAAAGCAAGGCAAGGCATTAAAAATCAGTCAGCTTTAAAATCTTCAGGCTACCTTGTTTGTGCTGATCCACATTCTGTTACCACAGAAACAAGAGAGGCAGCTGAACCAGCAGCCCAGAGCTGGGAGCCTGGCTTGTCTACTGGCCTGGCCAGTGGTCATCAGACTGATGATCCAGATGTACCTGGAGAAACCCACCTCAGCACCAGCTAACCTCAGAGTGATGGCACTGTCACATAAGGAGAAAATCAAAGTGAGACTCTTGTCACAGAGGATGGAATTTTACTATATTTTGCTGGAAAATCCACTGTAAAATGCCTTGGGGCTGACCCAGACTCTCTGAGAACTGTTGGAGTCCTTCCAGTTACTCTGCTCTTTAAGACACAGTCCATACCATGAACATCAAGCATGACGCCGTCTTTCATTCTGGTTGATCATAGTATTCAACATCCAACTCCATGAAAACTTTCTGTAACCACTCCCCTTCTTGCCGCGTTCTCAATGTGTTTTGGAGGGAGGCTTATATTTTTCCATTTCTCCCTCCATGTGCCCAGTGCTGGCAGACGGCTGACTGCTATTGGAAATATTTTAGTCTTCCAAGGAAGATGATGGCTCAAACTTTATTCAGCACTCTACCAGTCATCTGCCTCTTTTGCTTTGTTCCATGAAAATGCTCTCTTATCTATGCAAGCTGATATCTAGATTTTTCATACAGGTAAGGTATGAAATTGACCACTTATTGACCTTGGCTATGGAAACAAAAAGGCTGATTGCTGAGGTATTATCAGATATTATCTTGTGTATGGTACTGCAGCATAGCCTGATGGAAACCCTACCTGTGACATTCAATAGTTAATGCAACCTATCAAAAAAAAAAAAAAAAAAGATATCATTTATCTTTCAGTTAATCAGAAGGATAATGTATTAGATACATTAAATAATTAAGCATATTAAAAACACATTACCAAATTTTTATCATTGAGTAAACTGGCAAAAGAAGAGTATGATATTTTACAGCAGTCTAAAAATAAAGATATCTCAGGTATCTCCCTCTCTGCAAGCACGCATTAAAGATTTATATCTCACTAGATGGGGAAGAGCAAGAGCAACATAGCAGGGCTCAGGCTGACACTACCTAACACACTTAGATCACACAGCTAGGGTAGCAGAGGCCACTGGCAAAACATCAAGGATGAGAACATACAGGTGAGGAAGACATAGGAGAAAGTGAACATAAGGACAAGAGTTTGATGGAAAGGACGGGGGGGGGGGGGTAAAGAATAATGAAAAGATGAACATGAAACAGCACTGTAAAATAAAAGACTAACTGGAGAAAAAGAAAGCATAATGAGTTAAACTGCAATAGTCCGGTAAAGAGAAGAAAGAACAAATAACCATGAAGATCTCTTTTACTTTGAATATTTGTATTTTTATTCTCAGCAGCAGTTGAAAAGCTGTAATGCTTTTACTCTGGGCAAGAAGCGAAAGGGGAAGCAAATCAAACAACATCCCTGTGAGGCAGAAGCTGTGGGAGAAAGAGGGGTAGCTGGGTATTTTTAAACCAAAGACCCTGAGCAAACTGCATCATAAAGCAGGCAGTAGGCTGATGACAACGTTAAGTAAGCCATTTCAATTATCCTTTCTTATTGCAAGCTTCCTCACAACACAGCGCTCTCATTAAAGGGTTACAAAAGCGACATTATCAAGAGCGTGCTCTCCTGGAACAATTAGTTTAACCTAATGAACACACAACTCCCCTAATTATCTCAGGAAAGTAAAAAGGATCCAACTTTTTGACTCTGGATGCAGCAAGCAGAAAGCCTGCCAAAGAAGGAAAAGGCCATGAAATATCAAATCTAGCTAGAAGAGCATTTAATAAATAGAGACAACTCTAATGAAGTCTTTGGCTTTTAAAAAGAAGGACAGAGAAATAAGATGGTGCAGTGTATTTACCGATTAGTGTAATGTTTATGAACTAACACCTGCAGCAGCATTCAAATGCCAACTAATCCCACTCACTGCAGAGCTCCAGCACCCGTCAAAGTCTAGCGCTGAATGTTCCCAAGTATGGAATAAACCAGTGCCCAGTGCTGAGAACGTGAGATCTGGTGCGATACAGAACAAGGCAGTAACAAGAGCAGCCTGTGGCAGGACGCAGCATGATATCCAGAGTAAATACCTCTCACTCAGCCTACCCAGACAAAGTTGCTCAGAGTGGGAACGGCACCACCCAGAAGTTAGGGCTAAAAACATTGGGAACGATATTCCCAGGGGTCACACGCACTGTGGAATTACTGCTTTAAAAAATAAAAATCTTACACAAACAAATTCTGATTGTTACTGACTACTAATGAAGGTAGGAATGAACCCTGTCTAGCATGCCTTGATCTTGTACAATGACTGTGCTTCTCCCACCTTCTTAATGCCTCAGTGGTTGCTAATTATTGCACGTACCTGTCTGACAAGAGCCAGCTGCAGCGATAAGTAGAGGATGATTTGGTGATCGTCTCGGTCCAATTCCCGTGCTCTTTAAGAACACAACACAAAAAGAAAAGTGACTGTTAGATTGTACTTTCTACAACTACGTTGCCATGACTCACACACGAGCAGAACAAACCTGAGCCCTGTTCAATAGAAAACTAGACCAGTAATGGGATAGCATACTGAAACTTGACAAAAAGTACACTGACACTTACCTGGATAAGCCAAGCTCACAGGAAAACAGGTGAAAAATACAACTGTCAGGGTTTATATAACTTAAATGTTCATTTGTCAGCACATATTTTGGAACGTAAATATCTAATGGAGAAAATAGCTTTAATTCATGACACCAACTGTTTAAGGCATTATTTTAAGTAATTTAGGTAAAACAAGATAGCTGTTTAACTTGTTTCTATATTACCACTTTTCAAATAATAGGAGAGGGTTGGGCTGGCACCAAAAAGTAATCATCATTTCTGCTACTATTTTGGCTATGAACAGGATCAGGAGCCCAAGATATCAGCTAATGCCCAAACGCAAAATATCTTCCACCCTACAAGCTCCAATTCTAACTGTTGACAGCGTGCTCCTAATTTGAAAAAGGAAGATTCAGTGGGAGGGTTGAGGTTTTGATGGCAGAAGCTGAGCCTAGTTGAGAACCAGAGCCTTTGTGTCTCAGGCTAGGGCTTCTCCCATTAAACCAGCTTGGACTTCTCAGATATTATCTTCTGGTCAATGGCTAGGAATAGCTTATACTGCAGAAAGTGCTTGGCTAGTGAAGACTGCAGCATCTCCAGAACTCAATGTGGCTTCCCAGAACTCAATTCTGGCTTCAAGGCCAGAAGCAGGAACGGACAGACAGGGAAGAACCATTCCTCCTGAGCTATGCTCAGCATGAAAATGCAACCTGAGTTCACCACTCTGCAGAGAAGCCCTTAACCAGGCTAACTACCAGGCAAAGTTTAAGGTACCTAACCTAGCAGCAATGCTGAACACTGGCTCCTGCCATGTAGCAGCCCATGTCCAATACCAGTGGATTTTCCCCGTTGAGTGAGTTGCAGATGCAAGAAGCTGCTCCTGGCTCTGTCATGCAGTAAAGCCATTGCACAGAGGAAAGACGGAGAAGAGGAAGGTTCATTATAGCAAGCTGACATTCCTGACCTCTTCATGGGTGGTGCTCGGGGATGATAAAAAAGCCTGCACCTGCACTGCACTGTTCAAAGCAATCAGAGTCAAAAGTCTTTTTGAGGAAGAAATGACAAGCTGGCAAGGCTAATGGTTAGAAACCTGCCAAAACTACTCATTTGCCAAGAATAAGCAAATGAAAAATCAAGGAATTTGGAAATAAAAACTGAGTAAGGTTGATGATACAAATGTGGAGGAGCGGCTGACACACCAGAAGGCTGTGCTACCATTCAACAAGACCTGGACAGACAGGAGAGTTGAGAGGGAACAATTAGTTTAACCTAGGGGTGAGGTTTAAAAAGAGCAAGTGTAGCATCTTGCACCTGGCGAGGAATAACCACATGCACCAGTACAGGTTAGGGGATGACCTGCTGGAGAGGAGCTCTGTGGAGAAGGATCTGGGTGTTCCTGTGAACAACAGGTTGGTGAGGAGCCAGCAGTGTGCCCTGGTGGCCGAGAAGGCCAACGGAATCCTAGGGTTAATTAAAAAGACCACGGCCAGCAGATCCAGGAGGGCCACAAAGATGATCAAAGGCCTGGAGCATCTCCCGTATAAAGAAAGATTGAGTAACCTGCATCTGTTCAGCCTGGAGAGAAGAAGACTGAGGGGGAACAGAAAAGAGACAGAGTTTTTAAACTACTATTAAATTTCCTCAAAATGTACTAGAAAAATACTTCATTCAAACTTCCAGCTGAAAAGGCCACTGATAAGGATGGCTACAAGCCAAACCGTGGTCTGAGAAATTCTAGAAGTAACTTAAAAAGAGGTGAAAAACAAGGGGAAAAAAAAAAACAAACAACAACCCAACAAGGAAAAGAAAACCAAACCCATGCATATAGGGAGATAGTAGCAGTTACTGTCAGAACACTCCTGTTGGCTGAAATCTGAGTACCTAATTTCTGACTAGAAGCTTGTCTGCTTCCTAGCTAGTGTTAAGATACGGGGAAAACCAGCTACAGCCAGTGGGGAAAGGTCAAAGCATAAAAATAAATGCACTTTAAAAGCACTGCAGCACTGCAATTACAGAAAAATTGGGCAGCAGTGAAGGTATTACATTGGAGCCTGGGAACTGGTGTGACTTTAAGTATACTGCTGATCTAAATAGTGACCATATAAATGGCTTCTAAAATATATACTTTTTAATCTTTCAGATCCTTATGGGGTAAATATCCAGAATTACATTTGTAGTTTCAGTTTGGCAAAAGCAAGTTTCTACTACCACTTGCTCCTTACAATCACTGCAGGAAAAATGTTTTGGACAGCATCAGAAAAGCAGCTAGGATCCAGTAAAGTGCTCAACTTGCTACTGTATCTGTACTGTACTTACACTGTACAGTATCTGTACTTGGAGATACCAAAGAATTCAAGTTTTCATCACTTTTTATAATGCATTTATGACCACAACAAAACCAGAATTAGATACTTCAGTCCAAGACTTAGACCACATAAGCTTCCATTTAGTTGCCACTTGAGATCTGTAAGCATTTACGCTTATAAATGTTAACTGTCCTACCACGTGCACAATGCTTTTAGAGGCAGAACAAGTGCTCTTACCTTGGATATTCAACCAAACAATTACCAGATTTCACCATCACAAGGATGTTTTTCACATGTGACTGCTGAAATTTATGGAAGTGTTTTTAAAGTTTCTGAGTAACATCATACAGAAAGTAAAACATTTTTAAAAAATTATTCTGGATTCATCAAAGGAACTACATAATACAGGAATAGGTACCATTCTTACTCACCTCTCCAAAGCCTGAAGTGCTTTCTTGTTGTATTCATCCTGAGTGCTCTTCAAAGTAGCTGCAGGGCAATATACAATGTGATTTAAGAATTGAATTCAATGTTTCAGATTCAATAAAAAACAGCTACACATGCTTCAAACCAGAAGCATGAAAAGTGTTGCAATCTCATGGTGCCTGCTCAGGGCTGGAAAATGTGCCCTTTTGTTTTTAATGGACAGCACAAAAATAATATTTTAACTCAAATTCTCCCTTTTTTTTCTATTAACAACTCTTCAAACTCTCTTGTCTGAAACTCTGAAGTATTTTTTAGTAATGTATGCCACTAAAGGGGTGTGGAATGATCAGGAGACACAATCTCTTATTGTATCTAACTAGATTCTAGACCTCTGCCAGCCCAGTGTACACGTTAATGGCAGTAACTAGCTTGGCATTTTGACTCAGAGTGCCTCCAACACCATCTTCATGTAGGACGATGTTGCAGGTGGAACAGGAATACCAGAAGCCAGATTTACAACTCCATGACACAGTCCTTGACAACATAGCATTTCCCCTGGACCACAACAAACATTCAGGTTACTTCAGATATGGCAGATAAGTGGCAAGAAGGAGCCACTTATGCCCTCCTTGGTGCATCTAATTGCCAAAGGATCCCATCCGCTAGGCTTATCCGATGTATGACTTAATTTGAGCTCTAATGAGAAGAATCATCAATCTCTTGTTACACCAGAGCATCATAAAATACCATCATCATTAAAGGAAGAAGAACTTGGAGAAGAAGGGCTCCCTTAAATCCAGAATATTTGGAAAGCTAACAATAAAGTTCAGAAGCACACCAGTTGGCTGCTTTGCTCTGGATCTCAAGTTTTTAGATTTTACATAGCAGTTGTTTCTCGTTCTACTTGTATTGAACTTGGAAACTTCCGATCAACAGTACAAGAAAGAGACAAGCAGTTAATCATTCAGCAAACATCCACCTATGAATATATTTCACTTCCTGTATCAAGCCAATGTAAGCTCCATAAAAGGAAGATAGTAAATAGTATTTACTTCAGCAACAACCCCCCCCCAAAATCAAATACTCGTATAAGTTAAGAGTTGTGTTCTTCTACAAGTTGTACAAAGGTAAAAAGTTTCTTTAGATTATCCAACATGCTAGTAAGTGAAACTTTAAAAACAATTTATTTTTCCTAAGTAGTTGCAGTCATCAAACCTTTTTCACTCCTATGCCTTTCAATAGTTCTTCCAAACATCAGCTCTATCTGCGAGGAACAGCAATCTTCAGGATTTTCCAAATCACATAAATAAAAAAAAACTGCTTACCTCATAAATTCTGCTCTAAATAGTAAAAACTGAACAAAAATACATAATTCAAAGAACAAATTTGAAGATATGTGCTTTCATGCAAAACATAGCATTTATAAAAAGCTGGAAACACTTCACTCTCAATATCCTTAAATTGAATATTCTGGTCCACTGCCAAATACCAAAAAAACAATGAAGTGGCAAAGCTTACAGAAAAGTATTTTAGAAAATCATGATTGACATTCATAAAATAAAAATACCTGAAGAGACGCTAGAAAGGATTTAATCACAGCTATGAGCGTTCACCCAGAAAGAACATGTCAGATTGTGCTCCTTATGGAAACTACAAGATTCCCTATATATATATACACATGTAACCAAGTAATTCTAGAGACACATTACACAATGAGGAAGATGGAAAGAGATTTAACATTCACCCTCCAAATAACCACAAAAAGGAAAAGCTAGAAGAACTTTCGGGCTCAGTCTGGTATGACTTGACTGAATGGCTGTTCAACTTAGAAAGTAAGAGTACCAATATTTGGTGGAAAGGATGTTGGCACTGATGAGGTGGGACATGCGAGTCCCAATTCCCACAGCATGAACTGCATATTCAGTTGCAAAGTTGCAAATCTGCTTGTCTGTCTCTAGATTTGTGTTTGATTTGGCCAAACAAATTGAAATTTGAGTTCTTCCATTTCTATAAAAAAGCAGCTAAGTAATTTTGGGAGAGATGAAAGAGAAGGAAAGCTGAAGTGATGACTGAACACGTTTATAGTTAAAATCAAATCGTATTTCCGCTAAACAAAAACTGAGCTCAAAATGTGCTTCACAGGCTCTGATCCAGTGTTTTACAACACAGTCTTCAAGACCAATCCCAAGCACAGAGGCCAAGTAGAGTTAAGAGGAAGCTCTTAAAAGCAATTCTTAAGTTCTTCCCTCTCTTTCAAAGCAGAAAAATGTGCATTTTTACACAAAATCTGTCTGCAAGAGAGGCTGGGCCATTGATCATTACCTCAATATGGCAAAAATTTTCAACCAAAATGCAGAAAAACAGGGAGCTGAACTCGGAAGGTCGGTTTGGAAGAACACTGTACCTTTACACGTCTAGCTCAGCTCAATCTATTTTTAGCACATTTAAGTCAGCTTTGCATAAAATGAACAAAACTCCCAAATGTACTGGTACTGGAGGGCAGACATGAGAGCAGTAAGCTGAAATAGTTAACAGATTGGAAACATCTTTATTGTGATCTTTTAGGTTCTTCCTACTGCTCCTCTCCCATATATTGCTAGGTCTTTATCAGAGATAACACATGTACACGCTAGATGAATAAATACAGAGATGACATGACTCAGTGTTCAATATTTATGCCTCAAGTTGACAAAACCTGTGCAAGTTCCTCCTACTCCGATGCCCCTCCTCATACATGCCCTTTCCCTCTCCTTACCAGAATTAGACTTTTTTTTCTTACGTAGCAAGAAGTCACTATCATGAGCTCAGCTGTGACAGTTTTACAAATAAAAAGGCAACAGAACACATTATTTAGACTAAAATAAAAGCAGAGCAAAGCACAGTCTAACCGAAGTAAGAGAGACAGCACGGGGGATTTTAAGTTTCTAAAACCTCAAATGTTCCTCTAAGAACAGTACTTTTCAAACATCACCTTAGAAACTTAATATTTACTCTCTGGAGCACTCTTTGTTGACCAAAAATCAGCAGATTTTTCAACCTTTGGATACCAAAATACAAAGCTCTGAAGTCACATTTGAAAACAGAGGAAGGTAAACTGTGTTAGTAGGAAGGTGCGGCATAGTAAGCAGTGAGTGCATAGACTGAAATAGCAATGCTGGGGGCCAGCATCAAAACTAAATATACGCTGAGACAGTCCATATACTGTGGACTGAAAAACCATAAGCAACTGCAGCATAATCAGGTCTATTTTTGTAGCACATTAATTTTATGAGAAAATAATCTAGTTTGTGTTTTCCAGCACTCTTCTATTACGTGAATCACAATATTAAGAAGTGGGTTGGAGAGATGGAATTCAAAAATACATTTCTGACAACTAATACAGCAAGTTATGCAGTTTCAGTATCCAAAATCACAATTTATGATTGCATGTGCTGATCGCCATCTCCAGATGCAAAAAACGTGTGTTCACTAATAATGCATTTTAAATTTTAATGTCTCTTTTTAACATTAACTGGTACTGATTAACATTAGCATACTGATTAACATTTACCATTAACAGTTTACCGATTATTTACATCACCAGGAAAATTTTCCAATGCAGTCTCTGACTTTGTGGCCTCGTAACAGAATTCTAAATGAGAACAGAGATGCAGTACACTCTTTCTCTCATTTCTGTAAAGAGAGTGAAGGCTTGTTACTGTTGTTTGTTTGTACTGAGCTTTAACAGTATGTGTGGAACTGACGTTAGATAAGAGCAGTTTTATTTCACAAAGCATGCTGGACTTGTCTCTCTTCTTCAGCCTGTGCTAAATTCGTCTCACTTTTCCCTTCTCTAGTGAATCCTTCATGAGGCAAAATTGACAATGCAGCTTACACCAAAACTGGAATTACAAGAAGCAAAAGGTTTGCTGTTGAAAATTGCCTCAGTGGGAACAAATTTGGGATGTAGAAAATTTAGATGTATGGACATTCTGTATGAACAAGAAATATATGCTTTTAAGAATGAGACAAAAGCAGCTATGACTTCCTCTGAGGACACGTCTTTCAGCAACTTCATAGAGTCCTCTTCCAAAAACCACATAATTAGACATTAAGGACTGCAAAGCTACATACTTATAGCCAGCACAAGTTTCAGAAAATCTTATTTCATCCAGGAGTAAATCTAATAGTTGTAAAATGAGTCTATCGAATGCTCCCATGAGTTCTTTGAATCATCATTCAGTAGGATTCTATCTTCTCATCTCTGCTAAATGCACTTGCTAAAAAGTGGTCATAAAGGAAGGGCTCTAATACAGCTCCTCAGTGCCTTTGGCACACAGGATGATAAATATTTACTGAAATTATATTAAAGAGAGAAAATCTAACCTCGGTTGGAAGGCAGCTTTATATTACTGCTGCAACCTTTACAAGACAGTTGGTTGAAGGTCTCTGAAAACGATGATTAACTGAATATCAGCTTAAGTGGGAAGCTACAGAAGTCATATATATACACACAGATGTTTGCATGTCTGCATATATCACTACAAACTGGTACAAACACAGTGACATAAGACTATAAAGCAGCATAATAGCAGAGTAGTTGTCTTCCTTTCAATGTGTTCTATTTGTGATTCTTCACTAACAAAAGCTTGGGTTTTTTTGTTTTGTTTTGTTTTTTTTTAATGTCTCACTAGTGTAAATTTGACTTTGCTACTAAAATGCTGCTGTGTATCCATGATTACCATGTTTTTGAAGAACATGATCTATTTTATTAGAATTAATAAAACGTAGCCTGAAGATGAAAATACACGCTTCAGATTTTTCCCAAATAACTGCACAGTGGTTCTACTGACCTACTGGCCACAGATACAAGGATGAGAAGGCAGGTATTTCAATGTTGCACAACAAAATCATACCAGGTAACTGTTGCAATGATTGTTTATTTTATGTTACAAAGATCACTTACTACAACACTTGAGCTAAACAGCTGTATACCTGGAAAACTTCTCTTCCATGAGAATTTCCAATTTCCATTTTGCTTTACCAAGGTATGTTTAGAGCCAGACCACAATACATGCCTCTACAACTCCATTCTTTAAAAACCTTCTTCTTTCCATAGAGAATAATAAATAGATTGTAATGGACTTAAGACAAAAATCTTCCTATCTCTGAAAACAGTCTCTGGGATCTCATACAGCTTTAGGGACAGTTCATACAAAATCTAGGCAAAATGCCCTAAGGAACTAGGCTATAAAGCAGAACTCAATGTTTAATGAACTATTTAAAAACAAAACAAAAAACAACATTAAAAAACCAAAAACAACAAAATTCAGATTAGGAAGGACATACATTTCTTGACACAGCCTTTGTAAGGGAACTATTCAAAGTCAGAGACATGGAGAACTACAGAAAGCAACAATGCATGTTTCTCTCCATGCTGGAAAGCTGTTCTCAGAAGGCCTGATTGATGACTGGGTGAAAAAGAAACAACATACTGCACTACTGAAGAGTACAGGCCACTTCCTCAACCACATGCTTTACAGAATTTTGGTGTAACTTGCAAGATCTGAGCACTTCCACAACGCTATACGAACTGTCACTTTAGCTTTGTTTCAGGCTCATTTGCCCTAAGAAATTTCTTTCTGTGGAACACATCTGACAGAAAAACATGTGGTATGGACTGCCAAACTGCTTAGGAAACAAAACAGCTCAGCTATTATTTAAAGAAGCTGTATTAGGAGGCCTTTTACCTATGTTAGAAATCACAGAGAAAGGAAGGCTGTCCCCAGCTGTGAGTCTGATGAAGGTCAAATCTAGATCTCACCCAGCCACCAGGACTTTCAGCCCTCCAGGCTACAAAGCACCAATTCTACAGAAGCACAGTCTAATCACATAAAAACCAAGTAATCAGTATTAAAAAATTAAGTTTTTACTTTCAGTGATTTGTATCTAGTCAATCCATATGTACCAATGAGACAGATATTTTTATCTTGTTTACTTCTAAGCAGAGAAAGAAACTACATCAGGGAGAGGTTGAATCTCTGCAGGGAATCAGTATCATGCCAGGAACCGAAGTCAGGCATTTCTGCCTCCAGTTCTTGGACTGTATTTCTTTATGTGATACATGAGTGGGTGACAAAAATACGAAAATAGATCGAAAGTTCCATTTTTTGTTGTGCAAATAAGTGAAATAAGTGTATTACAAATATCCAAATGAATCACACCAAGAATCATTGCATACAGTCAGAGAAACATCTCCTAAGCAATGATTTGAGTTTCTTCCTTTACTTAAAAGCTTCACTTTTATTACCATAGAAGACAGTTCTCTGAGGAATTGAACAGTCCTGCTCGTCTCGGGATCTGATTATTTTCTACATTCAGCCACCACTAAAGGCAAAGTTTCTAATTAATTTCCTACTGCTTGCACCCAAGAATCAGAACAGATGTTTCATATAGCACACCTGACAAACAGGATAACTCACCATCAGTAGCCTGAAGACTGTATGACAGACCCAGTGCCAAGTAACCCTTTGCTAGGGACTCTCCAGCATCCTCACCCAGGTCTATCACCATTTTAGCAAAGTATTCTCCTTCTTCCAGCTGCAAAAGAAGACAGAGGTTGAGAATTTCAGGCATTTCTACAATAACTGCATGTCTACTACACCTGCTTCAATAAGGTTATCCTTTTATACATACCCATACAGTCATCTGAGAGACACAACAGTGACTTCAGTGACCAAGTGACTAAGCACTTACAGACAAGAGAACATAGAAGACCAGATTATTAGACCCTGATGCGCAGCCACAGTTTTCAGAAAGGTTTTGGTTTTAAGCACCTGCCCTAAACTATTTCCAGATGTTCAAGGTTAAGGAATATCTTATTTTTGTATTTCTCTACCAGGAAATAATGTAATCTTAAATATCAATGGACTAGCTACTTAGATACTATTCTGGCAGTAGATAAAAAGTTCTACCAGGTGTCTTCCTTTAAAGGAAGAACTTCCAGGTTTTCTCTACATTGCCTTTAAAACTTCGAATAGTGCTCCTCACTTCTGATCTTAAGGGTTAACACACCCATAATCCGTAGAAAAGACTAAGGCCTGTAGATGTATATGGAAAGGTCAAGGTTAGACAAGTACAGGCAAAAGCTGTAAGCGATGCTTGAAAGGCACAGAACCTACAGGAATACCTCATGTGCATACAAGGAGATTTGCAGATCCTGTCAGCCATAATCAGAGTGACCAGCAATCAGACAGCACTACACCACCCCAGAGATCCTACTATTGGAAACTTTTATGACAAGATTACCGATTTTATTGGATGGAATTACTTTGTTTGGGGGAAACATTTTTGTTTGAAATCCAGCCATTTTAGATGCAAATACTGCAGCAATAACTGAAATGTGCTCTTATTACTCAGTTTTGTCAGATTTCAGCACCTCATATTTCTTTGACATTGAAAACTCGTAAGGAACTGGAATCAAAAATATACCATCAGATGAGAAATTCCCCTTCTGCAGCAATCTGTGTGTATATTACTTAAGAATAGAATTGACTTGATACACAGCAGCCTGTCAAGTCTTAGTTACATCCCTTGTAGACATGCAGGTGATGACACGAATTAGCAGCTACATAAACAGAGGAGCTGGTATTTATTAGATGACAAAACACAACGAAGTCTTTACCTGATAATCTGTGTATGGAAAAAGACTGAAAAGTCTGCAAATGAAGAGGCAGTCTCCATTGCTTGGGTCTTTTCCCCATTTGTGCAGCTCCCAGAGGCCACAACACTTCAAACTAGATGCAGGCCCATAATTTAAAATTTCCAAAATCTCCAACAAGTCAATGGCCAACAGTCACCCAAGGACCAACATGTATTTGGTCATCAAACTGTTGACTGGAAGCACTATGAACTGCCATAGTGTTGCTGATTACCTAGCCAATAATGACTCTGAAAAATACTAATTGAAAAAGGAATACCTCTCAGAAACATCAAGCAAATTGCAAGGATCGTCTTTAACAGTATAATCCAAAGTCTACTGCAAACACTGGAAATAATTCTGCTGACTTCAGTGATGCTCAGATGCCACCCTTTAAGCTCACAATCACAACAGGAAGCCTGAAGTTTGTTCCAGGATACTTTTTAATCTTGTAGTCAGCTCTACCGACTTCCCTGCCACAAACTAAACCATATTCTGGACCAGAGCTTAGGACAATGGAAGAAGAAAGAGTCCCATGACTCGGCAAGGGGTGGGAGGGGAAAACACCAAAAAAAAAAAAAACCCTTCCCATGAAACAATAACTAAATTCTTCAACTCTCAGGAACTTTTACATAAAGCAGGAAATCTCTGCAATTAGAAATTTAATTATGCACCTCTTTTGCTACCATAAACAGCACTATTCCCACTCTATTTCTTCATTGTTTCTCCTCCCCACATGCACCTTCAGCTAAGAAGTCTCTATCAGATGAAGAAAAAAGCTATGCAAGGAATTCTAATAACTATCAAACAAGAGTAGCGGAAGGTTGAGTTTGTGAAAAAAAAAACCAACAGATTAAATGAAAGGTTTGGAGCTGAAATGGAGACGTCTAAAATTGAGGACATTTTGCTCCATTGTTTCTCAGAATGGTCACCTGATGGTGTTTCTAGTTCCTGAATGATGGCCCACACTGAATAAATCAGCAACACACCTTTCAGTTTTCTTGCCTGCCACTTATCTAGGGCCACTTCTGAGTGCCAGATTAATATTTCGTATGAATAATTAAAACCACAGCTTTTCAGAATGACTGAAAGAGCGCTTCTAATGCAATACTCTTGTAAACTTTATTCATACTAACACTAATCGCACTTTGACTAGCCACAAAGGCTCTCATGAATGCAAACTTTGGTCAGTTGAAGGCTGCATTGAAAAAAAAAAATGGCATTGTAAACTCCAGCACAGCTCAGCAGCTGGTTCTGCTTATGAGAACATTTACTTTTCCTACTTACAGCACTCAGCCACTTTCCCTGCCAGCCCTGCTGTGACTGCCATCTGCCCCCTCTTCTCTCATTTGCCTATTCTTAAATCACCCTGAGCAACCATGAAAAGCAAAACCTTCCATTCAAATCATCCAATGCAACGTTTCAACTCTGCAGTGCAAACTGCCCCTAACCTGCCCGCACTCCGGGTGAAAAATCCTTCTCTACACACTTCATTGACTGAGGCGCCAGGAGCCAGCCTGAGCTGAGATCTGTCAGATGAGCTGTGTCCAAGGGGATCCTTACACACATGAGGTGCCTGCACTCTGCTATAACAACAGGAAAGGGAGGATTAGAAGCCTCCAAATCAGGCCTCAATTCCTCTAGATCCCACTAGGTACGACTTTTCTCAGCTGCAGCTCCTATGGTTTGCCACATATCCTGAAGCAGCAGGAGCTACTATTCCTTTCCCCTCTCCTCATGGGGTGAGAGGCATGTGAAATCTCACTCTGGGACTCTCAGAAGTTGCAAGTTCAAGCTACGCAGAAGTCAGCTAAGACACAAAAGGCACAGCAGAAGACAGCCATTCCTACTCCAGCTGCACAACCAGGTGGCCAGACTCAACATGAAGGGAACTCAGTTTGTTCACTTCAAATGAGGACTCCAACTTAAAATGGTGCAATGCTGCATTGGGAGGGCAAGGAACATGGATAAAAACTGTTGCATCTTATAGACCATTGCTAGCAAATTCTAGGCCACAGGATGCCAGGTGTCCCCCAGACAGCAGGGATGGCACAGCATCACATCATCACCAGAAAATGCATAAGTACTGCTATTAACCAGTTGCCAGCAGCGCCAACAGCAGCTCGCAAGAATGCAGAAAAAGGCATTTCTTTGGTCATCAGTATGCTTGTAACAGCTTGAATTCACTTCCCTTAGAATCATTACTTGCTATTCCTTCAGAAACAATAAAACCCAAAGTCTTATACCCACACAGCTACATCTCTGATTTGGCCCTTACTCTTGCTAAATTCCTCTGAATACTTCCTACTGAATAGCTTTTTGAGTGAAGGGCTGCAGAGAGAGGTTCCTGCCTTCTGAGATCTGTATGGCAGAAAGCAGGTGTCGGGGAAAACACACTAAAGGGAACTTTCCATATTTTGAACTGAAGCTATACTACCTGTCAGGAGGCACTTGGAAGCACTAGCTAAATAACTTTTCCCCCACACCAGAAAAGAAGCATGCAGCTGGCACCTGGCGAGAAAAAGGCTGCCAAACCACAAGCTGACACTGATAAGATTGTAATGCTGCGTTGCTGTTCTTTTTTTTTTCCCTTCCACCTCCTCTATCATCTTTGATGAAAACAGAGTAGTTGTTAGTTGCACAACCCTGAGGGTAGGCTGTTCCAGCTACTCCTGTTATTTGACCGCAGGTTAGGTGAGTGCTGCAGCCAAGCCCAGAGGCACACTGACAAGTGGGGAACAGCAGGTGCTGTCGCCTGGCCTATCGCCACCCAGCTGGTTTCCAACCACCACCCAGTGTGTTTTTAGAAAAGCTCAAGCCCTACACCACTGAATCTACACCTTCCAGGACTGCAAGTGGACTGCAGTTCCCACCAGGATTTAGAACAGATGAAGACAAGCAAAACTGACGTTACACTGCAGCACAGAAATGACATTCTACTGCGCTGAGAAGGGGAGTGCACAAGGGAGGAAGGAGGAAACACAGCACGTGACACTGGACTAGGACAGCAGACAAGGTTAGTGAAATAGGAGCTTGGACACCCCAGGACTGAGAAACACCCAAGTATCTCAGAGATCCAAATCCTATAGGAAGAGCTTCCACACAAAGCTATATACTGTTAACTAGATGAATTAGGCTTTTATCTTCTTTGTTACACAGGCTTGTAGGTTTGGAGGCTACGGTAAAAAACAGGAAAAATTAAATAATGGGAAGATTAAGAGAAAAGGGGAAAACTACATAGGAAAAAAGTGCCCAGTAAGGTATTGTGTAACAGAAAGCTCTGTCCCACTGCTGTTCACAACATACAACACAAACCACATTACATGCCAGGAAATAAAAAATCCCATGCTTTCTATTGTTGGTCCTTCAATATTGCTGATTGCTTGTCAACATATTCAGCATGTAAACCCAGCCCACTGTACTTAGTAATACTTGATCCTTTCCTCCAGTGTATCAAGAGTGGTTTGTTCACAAGGAAAATGTATAAAATTCTTGGTTGCCTTTAACATCTAAAATCCTTTGGATCACCTCAGTAACAGAAGCTGTGATGTCAGTGAGAATCTATTTTAAAAGATGGAAGAAATCTTCAGCAGCTCTTCACCATTCACTGTTTTCTCAGTAGCCTCTCCTCACAGTGATGTCAGTCCTTCCCAGAGTCTGCTTAGCAGGTGGAATAACTCGGATAATGGGGCTAGATTTGATCTTACAATGTTACTCATACCACAGTAAAACCTACACAATGCCATGCAATTCCAGGGCTCCTAGGTGACTGGGTACAAGCACATGCACATCATTTATCATCTGTAATGACAGGGTCAACAACAGAGAGAAGAGAAAGAAACACTCTTGGATTAAGTGGTCTGTGAAAGTAATGAACAATAAGCTGTTACCTCAGAAGCATGCAAGTCTAATTCTCCATGCTGCCAACCTTCCAACCCTCCTTCCCGTCCCCATCATGTACTGACCTCACCATACAACTTACACTTTACAGATTTCATGCATTGTCTGACCTGGCCTTACCCTGCTGCTCTTCTGCCTTTGCCCTAACAGACAACACAATCTCCATTTTCCCACACTAGGATCTGCAAGTCAAAAGAAGCAAGGGAAGCGGTAGTGAGGTGCAGCATGCATTCGTGCTGCAGTTTTTGCCATAGGGTGAAGTCTCTCCAAAACTCTGTGCTAGCTGATAACACTGGCATCGTGTGGTATTACACACATTTAACTCCAAACAGTACTATTTCTGTGGTGTCAACTGTGGGTCGCTGAAAACAGTAAGAGCATGTCTCATGCCCTCCTACTCTCTGTTAGACCACTGTCGTAGAAGATTCAAGCTATCCTAGGATCACAATTCATCTCCATGGGTATTTATCAAATTCTGAATGCGTCTCCATTGAAAGCATCTTAGTAACTATTGACACCTTTAAATAATACTTATAAAATTGATAAAGTCAGTATTTGACACCTAGTGTTCAGTTTTTAATATTCTTACAATACCTGTCACAACTGTCTTGTGGAACCTAGATGAGTAGTGAAACTACCAGCACCTTAATGTAAAAATACTAAAAACAACAACTCATGTTGTAGCTCAAAATCTCCACCAGTATAGCTGAGAAGGAGTGCTAAGTGAAGGAGAAAACTGCAGCAAGTCTTTTACAAAGTGGCACTCTAAATTGACAGCAGATCAAGACAGGACAACCCCAGTATGGACACTCCACTCCAAGCTACATGGACTTTAAGAAAATCTAAAATAACACTCTGAACTTCAGTAGTCCAAAACTTCATAGTAATTTTTGGAAAGCCAGAAGACAGCTGGTTAAACACAAATAGCCTTTGTGTTCCCTTGATACAATTGTTCACATTTAAGTTCATCAGACCGTTCTGCTGAAATCTTGGCAAACTGGAACGCCAGGCAGCATGGCACCTCAAAAGCAATTTTGAGTTCACCACAAAAACTCTTTTAAAACACACCAGGGTAATGGGATAAATACAGTACAAGAGTTCCAACTTTGTTAAAAAATTCGCATGCTATCAGCTTTATTAAGTACAGGTCAAACTGCATCTTGGCCAGACAAGCGTGATCCGTATAGGTGCACTATTTTGAAGTGGTCCTCCAAGACATTTGGCGTAAGCTTTAGAACAACTGAAGGACTAATTTGCTGTTCACTCTCTGGTGGTTTTTTTTTTTCTTTAATTTGTGAAAATCTATAATTCTGAAAATGGAAACATTCCTTACTTCATTGAGATGTTTAAAGCAGGCCAAATTCTGAAAGCTAGTGGTCGAGGGGCAGATCATGAGCTGATGTAAGCCAGCATGGTGCTAGAAATATAGCAGTGGAGTAGTGCCAATTTACATCAGCTAATAAACCAGTCATAATGTCACAACAGAAGCTGACTGCATCCAGTTCTTTTCCACATCTGGTATACATTGATTTGCATGGCACAGTACAAATGCATGCATTTTGCACTTTGTTTTGCTCTGTGATATTTTTTCCATGATCTGGGTATCCTCACTATTCCAAATCAGAATGGTATCAATTAGTTTATTTGGGTTGGGTTTTTGTTTTTCAGAGTGTATGGAGATTCCATGTAAAAAGTCAGCAAAACAAGTTAAAATGACCATTACATTAATTAGAAAGGAGACTGTTCTGTGTTCCTCATATCATTTTGCATTTATCTGACAGAATAAATTGTCTTTTTTTTTTTTTTGTAACTGAAGTAAGACTAAACTAGTCCACAGACTATAAATGAACTGAATACAACATCACACCAAAAGCACACAATAGACAGATGTAGGACATACAAACAGCGTGTTTTGTTTGTACGAACAGTGATCTGGTTTTGCCCTTTTCCTGCCTAACTAGCAATGAAGTACACAGATAAACCTCCTAACTGAGAAATTATTCATTCTGTATGTTTTGAAAAGCAAGATGCATCTGAATATTTGCTACTGTTGATATTTGTCCATTAGATTGTTCCAGTGCCCTGTCTATCCTCCCTTCTATTTATACTGGCATTGATCAATTTGTTCACTTCCAGTTTAAATGATTCAATTCTGTTGTGATTGCCATGTAATTTAAATGCAAATAATTACTGTAAGGATGACATTTAGAAAAACAGCTCTGCTAAGCAGGAAGGTTTTTATTAGACAGTGGAGTTTGCCAATAGTATCAGAGGCATCCCTTTAACTATGAAATGCAGAAACCTATCATGCTAAGATGCTCAGATTTCTCTCTGGCTCCCCTTAATTAAAACTATTCTATGGCATCATTAAAGTTTGGTGTCAGAATAGAGTATAGGCCACTGAGAAAAAGGGAGAGAGGAATATTACTGGATTTGGTTTGGAGTTTATAAGATTATTTTCTAAATAACTACAGTAAAATTATGCTCTTGTGAAAAAACGTTATTATTTCAGATTGAACCTCACTTCTGATCCAAAAACACTGGAAAGTGTTCCATACAATGAAAAAGCAACTGTTAGAGGGAAAAACCCTTTCTTTGAAATAGTCAAAAACAGTTCACTTCTCTCTCCTTTCTTCTTTTTTTTTAAGATTAGACTGTTGCTTTAACATTTTTTGCCATGTGTGAGAAATTCTGGACATACCAGATTGACTGAGGACAGAGCTGTGACTGGTACAGTTTCACCTTCTTTTCTATATGTCTCTAAAACAAAGCATTCTTTCTTTGTCAGCTGCACTAGAGGATCCAAAGTGATGTTGAAGAGAAGCATCAAGGAAAAAAACAAATTTTACCTTTGCCTATTTTACTGGCAAAGCAGCATCTTTAATTTGGGCTAATAATTACACATTCAACCCCTCATCCATCACAGGCATCAGACTTTAACGGTACCATATGAGATTTTGTCCTCACTACTGAGAGTTGCATAAACACCAGGGTAACATAAGAAAAACAAGCAGTCTGACATTTTTTTTCTCACCTTACAGAAATCTGGTCCTTTCACCTCAACAAACAGCAATGACCCAGTATATAGCACAGTGCCTTCGTTAAAACTTCACCATTCCTGTTAAATGTCAGACCATCACAGGGATCTCGACTTTAGCATGGAGTCTTACAAGATGAATACACTCTCTCAGAATTTTGTCCAAAGTCTAATTAAGGCAGAAGTCATGTGTCAAGCAAATATTGGGAGACCACAGCCTCTTTGAAGCCACTATTTCTGTTTAGAAGTAGTTGACATTGATGATTCATATTCTATTTGTCTACCAGAACCCCAAGACCTTTTCTGCAAAGCTGCTTTCCAGCTAGTTGGCACTCCAGCATGTGATTATTCCTCCCCAGGTGTGGAACTTAATAAGATTTCTGTAGGCCCATTTCTCCAGCCAATTAACATCCATGTGAATGGTGGACTGATTCAATTGCAGGTGGGCTTTGAGATTTTTTCTAGTTTTTCCCTGCTCACTTGGACAGTGTCTTCATACACTCCTCCCAGGTCACTTCTCCATGCTCCTGTCACTCTTGTTTGACTTGAGTCACTCTTGTTGACAGGAGTACATCTGAATGGACAATTCTGCTATCCTCTTTGTTCCCTCCTCTCAGCATCCTAATCTTAAACATTTCATGGTCACTGTAGTCAAGTCTACTCTCCTTTGCATTCCCAACCAGTTCTTGTTTATAAGTATCAGGTCCCACAGAACACCTTCCTTATTAGTTCCAGTGCCCCTCACTTTGTTCACCAAGCAGGAAGTCAGAAGAGCTGAAAAACTATGGGCAACAAGGAGATCTCAAGTTTGCCTGTCATACTGAAGTCCTGGCTCCTAGGCAAAACAGGCTCCTAGCTTGGTTTCCGAAAGATTTTCCTTAAATTTGACTGTTCCTGCCAGCTTTTTTTTTTCCCCCCTCCTCCTGGCAATCATTGAGGCAGTAGAATTGATAGGGTAAGCTCTTAGACTCCAAGTCCCCCACTATCACTCCGGATGAATATAGGAATTCAACCCATGAAGCAACTCTAACTTCAGAGCCTACACAGAGAAAAAACCTCAGCATTATGTTTTAGACTAATACTAAATTGATGTTGCTTTTGAAACCATCAGCAGAGATGCTAATAAGTCTTCAATACAGCTGTAATGTCTGACTCGCTTGTAGTTTTAAAATCTCTAAGAATCAGAAAAAAGTATTGGCTTTATTTAAATATATTTACTGTATTATTTTAAGCTGCACAATAGCTTTCAGCCATCAAAACTTACATACTGAGCTAAGGTTACAACAGAGCTAAATTGCTCTATAAGTCAAGTAGGTCAGCAAAGATTCCCCCATCGCCCTCAGACCTGACGGATTTTCTTCCTAGAACACAATGCTTCCCAGTTTCTGCTGACTCACGTACAAGTTCAACAATTACAGTTGATTCAAATACATACATAACCAAGTCTTCTCACTGACAGTCATGTAAATTGATAGCATTCAGTCAAATTCATCTTTATACCAATTTTTACCATACAGAGATGCTGAGGATTGCAGCAGGAGGAAGAATATTTTGTCACCAAAACCTGAGCAGATTCTTCTGGTATTTTCTTTCATGCTTTTTTTTTCTTGTATGTTTTACTTGTGTTACCAATTATAATCCTTCACTGACTGCAGGGACACCTCGTGGTGAGGACAGGTGAAAACAGCAGGCTGCAATTCAATTAATAAAACCAAACAGTATAGGACTGACAGATGTTTCAGCTCCTTGGGATAATGAGAATTTCACAGGCACAGACTTCAACTCCCACTCTGCTTCTGGAGCATACATTAACACATCCAGAACAGAAAACACTGACACGGGAACTTTAAGAACAAAGGATTGAATCATACAGCAGACCTCAGCTATCTAGGAGTTCAAGGGTCAGACTCACTTATTAACTTTGGTCTTCCAGGGGCTAGCGGCGTGGCAGATCCAGCTCTAGATACTCATTTGAAGAGGCAGTCTCAAGAACAGCCATTATGGATTTATCCCATCCTTTTGATCAAAAACCAGCAAAACCCATTCCTGTGTCTTACTGCAATATTTATTAGTAATATTTTTCTTTTCTTTAAAACGTGTGCCTATGTGTATGATTTTTAACATGGATTTCCATTCTCAGCACTCCAACTACACAATGGTACTGTCACTGCAGCGTTAGACACATTGCACAATGACAATTGCATCAGCTTGCTTACCCAGTGCAGTGACCCAATGCAGACCTTGGCAGCCAGAAGAGGAACGGTGGGATCTGTTGGTCGCAGTTTAGCACACTCTTTGAGCACTGATACAGCATATGCTGACTGGAGGAGAAGGAGGGGAGAGAGAAGGAAGAAATAAAAAAAGGCTGATTAGACAATGTTGTCATGGGGTCCACACAATATATTTCAGTGAAACATACAGAACAGTGATATGAGGTTAAAAACAATCACATGGGCAAAAAGCTAGCAACTTTATTCTCACCTGCACAGACAGACACACACGTGTGCATATGAACACACACACACTTCCCACATTCAGAAGAAATACACCAAAGAACCAGCGCGGTCTGTGCACTACACAAAAAGCTGTTAACATGCTGGTAATTTTAACGCTGCCCTTCTAACTCACAGGAACTCTGACACAGTTTCCCCTGTATGCAATCATCTTCTAGTAAGCCAGAAGAGATCATAAAGAGCTTATCCTACAGTACATTACATTTTAGGCCAACTATATTCAGAGAGCTAAAATAATCTGTTCTGTAGACCGTTTTCTGTCTTTTCTAGTACATAAAAGAATACAACTGGGATCCCACCACGCAAAGGGTGAAGCAGGCAGTTGCAGAGCACTACATTGCTCAGCGGGTGGTCTGAATAGCATGAAAAGAAAGCTCATAGAAATCTTCCTGGTGTTAGGTTACCATTCATAAATGCACGAATGGTGTTTATGAAGCCAAGCAGTCACACAGCCCTTCTGATATTCAATGTGCTCTATAAACACTGCTTTTTACAGCAGTGCCATTCACAGCTGCCATATTTCAGAAAGCTGAATGGGGAGTAAGGAAAGCTCAGGTCTGAGAGGCTGGCAGGTAGGTCTGCTCAGCTCTGTCAGTTTCATAGCCCACCCCATCATGCTCAAAACAGTTACTTTGAAATTTCCAATTCTCGTCTTTAATGACTCAGAGCCCCTCAAATGCTCTCACCTGGGAACTCGAGGGGAAGTTTTCTCATAATTTCTTCTTACATGCCCCATTGCTCCTAACCATGTCAAATACCCATGGACTTTTTACGTTACAGGAGAGCAGTAAACGCACTACTAAGCTTGCAGAACCAAACTAATGGCTATTCCTATCAGGCCATGGCCATCTCCTCCCGACCCTGACCCACAAAAACTCTCCCCACCAGACCTCCTGACAATCACACCACTGGGTCTGGAGTCTGCTCTAATCCCAAGGAATTGGCAGCTCCACACGACAGCTTCACACTCCCACGGGCTATCAGCACTTCCCCTCCCTCACACTGTACAGATCTGGTGCAGCCTGCCTCCTCTTTTCTCCACAGAACTGAAGGTCCAGCTCTTGCTAAGGGATTCAAAGCTTGGCTAAAAACTGGCTTGGAAGGGAGCCTTGGAAAGGGAAGAAGGGATGTACAGCAGTTCTGCCAAGGAAAAGATGAGTTCTATAAGAGAGAACATAGGCTCTGCAGTGGCACAGTGTGAAGCCTCCTGCTTGAAAGCTTGGGTACCTGTAGCATGCTCTAGAATCTTGGCCCTACATTCTCCCGATTGCTCCCCGCCTATGTGGGCCATCAAATACCATCAGTACAAGTAATGGAATATCTGCTGTTTTACAGTTTCAGACAATTCAACAGTTTGTCCAAAGCCAGAAGGATGCCTGCCTAAGAGCAAAGACCGGAATTTAAACTTTTACCTCACTCCTTTCAGAAATAAAAACTTCAGCTTTGAATTACAGATGGAAACACATCTGCTGTTACTAGATGACTCTCATCCCTCAGAATGAACCTTCGTGACACCTATCTGTTTAGAACAAATAGTATCTCAGGGCATCTTATCCTCCCCTTACAGAAGGCTGCTTGCACTGCTGGAAGCTGGTATTTCCAGTACCACCAGTGGGTGTGCTGCTGTTCAGAAGTGTCTTAGCCCAGCACATCATCTTCCTTTGTGCCTCTACTCCAGCCCACAGGTGTTTGTAGACCAAAAACCCAAGCAGCACCATAGGACTATGTGCCACCCCATCTGCCAGTGCGTGTGCAGCTGAACAACACCTCCAACCTTTGCTATCCCACCAGGCAAAATCAAAATGGAAGGGCCAAGTTTATACCGAGTATACCCTGTCCAGTGCCACTGCTTTTCGAAATCCTATACTGACTGAACAGGGTGGTGGTTTCTCAGTTCCCTGAAGGAGAAAGCAGTAGGCACCTGGGTGCTGGCTACAGCCATGATGCCAGCCAGCACAAATTGGAGCAGCGAGACGTCTGTTCTAATTTGAGCCACAGCTGCAAAATCTTTCAGGGCCCACTCCAGAAGAGAAGCCATACAGCCTGGCTCCCTGCCAGCTCCGCTTGAGCTCTGTCCCCTTTTGCAGACCATTGAGTAAGGCTGGCCAGGATGCACGCCAGCTCTGCAGCCCCTACAGCCCCAAGAAGTGCTTCTGCAAGCTGTCCAGAGACGGTTCAGGAGCCAACAGCACAACAGCCACTGCTGAATGCAGCTAAGCACAAAATCCTGCCTTGAGTCCACACCCAAACGCCTCTGCCTGTGCAGAGCAGCTTTATTGCATGCACTTCAGAGCTTCTGAATGCAAATTGACAAAGGGAGAGACACTGTTCCCACACTGCTCTTAAAACATTTACAAAGATATGTCACTTTAAGCAAGTTTATAAAAATTGCAATTAAACCAGGGAGCAGAAATGGTTTCAGAAACAGAGTGACATGAAGCCTTTCTATCCAGCCGCATTTAGAAATTCAAGGGAACTATATAATTTCAACTCAAAAACTTCACCTAGCAGAAATTACACCTAGATGAAACTGTTAGACAAGGAATAACTGTAGAAAGAATATCCCACTCCCAATGGAACCTTACTTAGAGGACATTGGTGAGAAATATACTACTAAGCTGTGACACAGATACTCATTACAGGCATTTGGCTGGGAACAAACATCAAGTATTGAATATGGACGTCATTGGTTAGTAAAAATATCTACAAATAAATAAAAAAAAGCATTTGTGCAACACTGAAATAATCTGACAATTAAAATGTACATATTCTTTCACTTAGTGTGGGTGGATCAGGCAGCCAAGAGCATTGTTTGTGAGATTCTCTACAAGGCAATAATGATTGGATTTATTGGTGGGGCATGTTTTCAGAAGAGCAGAGCTTGAACTGCAAGTGACTGTGTGCTTCCTGCTCATAATTCTGAGCTTCAGAGCAGCTCACTTAAAAAAACAAACCCTAGCCAGAATTAAATTCTGTTTGGATTTCTAATTGCTGGATTCTAAAGACTGCACTGGAATCAGTTCTCAAGGATTTCAGGAAAAAAATGGATTTGCCTCTGGGTCTCATTTGAAATCTCACTAGGAAAAAGGCCTTGTGTGGGTTTTAATTTTGTTTATGGAAGGTCTAATACAGGAGTTCTCAGCCTTGAGATCCTCACCAGGTTTAAGGAGATCCATGACGACTCTATTTTTTGTTAGGTCCATCAAGGCATAGACCTCAAAACAGATTATGGAGTGAAAATACTGACTTAATGGGAATGTTCAGCCACAAAAGAGTGAGCTCTTTGAAGGACTTAAGAACCTCTATTACAAGAGTTGAGCATCTCCATCCTTCATATACCACCTCTAAGGTTTTTGCAACAACAGAGAAAGGACACTGCACTACTGTTCCATGTTTAAATCCAGTATCTACGTAGGAATCCATTCTTCTCTCTGTTAATTTTTCTTCACCTAATCTATTTGCAAACAATATTCTCCTTCTGCTGAGAAGGAAAATTAGGAGAGGCAGTTGCAGGGAAGTAACTGCCAACACTGACAAATGGCTGCTTTCAGTTTTAACTTCTGAAAGAGCTCCATGCACTACATTCAATATAAAGAGTGCAATTGTGATAACACAAGGAAGCTATTGGGAAGAAGGATGCAAAAGACATCTTCCCCTAAGTAATTAAAGCTACCAAGATTTTGAATCCTATAGGGGAATAAAACAACCGAAAACTATTATTTCAAATACTAAATACTCTTCTACCCCATTTGCTAACTATACAACAAAGTACACAAGCATGCTCCTGAAAGATGTCTGCACATGATCAATCAGTACAGAATGAAAAATTAGTTTGCTGCTAGTTTCCTTGCTTTTCAAAAAGGCTTAAGAGCTTCTGCACTCCATTTAAGTAAATGCACTGATGATGCCCAGATACTGGATTTCCTAGTGCACTTCAATACTATTTATCTTTCTTTCCTCTTCTCTTCCACTGTACCAAAGCAAGAAAAGAAGGATGTCAGAAAACTCATTTCATACTTAGAAGACCAAAAAAAAAGTAAGTAAAAGGAAGAATTTCTAGACAACAAATTGTGCCAACCAGACCTGACACACCATATATCTCTTGCAGAGGTTCCAAAAAATCTTTCCTGACTCTTTCTCTTCAGTAATATCTTCCAGCCAGAGAGAAAAGAAATGTTCAAGAAGGTGTTCTTGGTAGATAGCCTTGTGCCCCATTCAACAGGCAGCTCAGGACACAGCTGAATCTTCACAAATAACGCTGCTTTACTCCTAGAACCTTCCTGCCTGATCATAGAAACTATGCTGTCTGAAGGGGATTTGGGGGGAAGGTGATGTTTGGGAGTGGGGAGGGGTGTTCTGCCAGTATGTGAGAATAAGTACCTCCCTTATCCTGGGATTCACAGCCATCTAACTATAAGAGATCTTGAACCGCAAGGGAAGATGACATAAGGGGGAGAAAGCAATTGAGAACATGGGTATCAGTTATTCTGATGTTAGCTGTTCACTGAATTTCTATAATTCTGTGAATCCCTCAGTATAAACAACATTCCCCAAAGACATTCGCTTCTTCCAATACAGGGAGCTTTTTCTTTTACCTCATGGTTTGCAAACTGGAACACTGCAGTTAAGCAGCTTCATACATTCACTTTTAGAAGTACCTCTCAAATCTTAGGATTTAATAGAACAAATCTGTCCACAATAATGTGACGAATGCCCTACTTCACACTTCCTGTCACGAAAAGAGTTAAGCCTCAAGGCAACCCTGCAGCCCACCCAGGTACTCTGCTCAACAGGCAGGAATTTTCCAT